CACAAATCAGATTTAAAGGTACAATACAGATGAAAAATTCCCTACAGAAACCAGATCATTTAAATTAGTTACGGGGTATTGGTAGCTAAGTTCAGTTCAGCTTGTACAACCATTAACCATGCACTATGCTTCAGAGAAAATTAGAAGATGCAAGCACGTCACTGTTTACGACACACAGTCATATCACTCAGTGTGTACAACCATCGGATACGATCGTCCCGAGGTCCCCAGTCAGAGAGCCTAACGGGACCTATGTGACCCAGACTCCGGGTTAGGGTTTTCATAACCTCATGCCAGGTCTTAGGTTGACCACCCTTGACTTTTTTCCACCCCTTAGCTGCCTCGGTGAACATCGCTTGCCGTAGCAATCTATATGGTGACATGCGTAACACATGCCCCAACCAGCGTAATCTATGGAGGTTGATCACTTGCTCCGGTGGGCAACCGCATTTGCCTAAAACTCTGTGCTTGTTCGGCTGCCCCACCAGATTGGTGCAATACTGCGTAGAGAGTGGTGTTTAAACACCGACAGTCTATCTTTATCCTCTTTCCTTAATGGTCAGGTTTCTGCGCCGTATAACAGAGCTGGTCGAACTGCTGCAGCAAACAGTCGAGCCTTTACGGACAGCCGGATGTCGCGACGGCGCCACCGCGTAGCTCAGAGGTAGGGTTTTCGCTCGTGAAGGGACACAAAAACATACGTACCGCTAACGAAACCTCGATCCAGTGTTCGTTGTTGGTCATTACACAAGGATGTTTGATTTCTTTCTCATGGGAGTAGAACGGAGTTCAGCTTTTGCACCGGTCTCGCTGGTGCCTGGATCCAATGTAAAGGAGAATAACTGAAGCAGGATCATGGTGAACTGGTTTCTAGGCTCTCCAATCTCTAATACCGTGTCCTCATTCAACACAAATATTGTGTAGTGGCTTTTGAAAGTGTAATCTTCTATTTCTTAGATGATAAGTATTGCTGATCGGCAGTAAGCACGGAGGTGCTCATGACGAGTACGGTTTTCTGAACACACACATGTTGCCGTATTATTTACAGAGCTATATATATATATATATATCACACGCCTGATGCCAGACTGTGTGCCGAACAAATCGTGGTGCAATAATCTTTATAAAAATAAAAACGCTCCACGATTTGCAAATGGACCGAATACTGCCAGGTTGCCCAGGACAAGTTAGGTGAATTTCCCTGGGGAATCCACAACCGGAGCCTGACCGGCAAGGCAGCGGGGCGGTGTGCGAAAACCGCAATCCATTGGGAGCCGGTATCCAGTTCATCGAATCATGTCCCCTTTGGACGGGGTCAAACGTCCAAGGTGCCCAATACACCTCACTGCCGAATCGAGCCGGTGACCACTGCTACGACCGAAAAGATGTGAGGGTGGTTCTTACGCCTCCTTTTGGTTGGTTTAGAATCAGGATTTTTAGCCAACTCCCCTAGGTGAACCCGGTTATAGCCCCGGATATCGGCTTTTCGTCTTCTCACTTTCGTGCAAAAAACTTCCGCCACGAGAAGGTAATGAGTAGAACTTCCTCAGCAGGGGCTATTTGAGACGCTTGGTCATATGGGAGCATTTGGCGAGGTACAAGGGAAGGGTGACCAGCCGCAACCCTAAACACCCACCCCCGACCATACTGAGGATTTCGGAGATACTATTGTTCTGGAAGAAATAATCCAAACCTCATAGTTTTTAGAGTCTAAGCTAAGTTAATTTCATCTAATCGCATCAAATGTACATGACACACTTCACTCTTACCTTTTATGTTTGGGATTACCGACCAAAACAACGCCCCCTGACCAAAGCAGTAGCGATGAGAATCGATTTTTGAGACCCTTTTGGCAGAAGCCAATCTTTGAAGTCACTTAGTTACCCACACACATTTGCTTTCACCAACACAGGGTACACTTCTTAACCCTTGTATCGGGATCCCGAGATCACCGTATTCGGTGGTTATGGACACTGAGTGATAGCAGTGAGTGTCGCAAACAGTGGCACTCGTGCATCACTACTCACTATCTTTGCAACCCCAGTCTATGTGAATTCTTCATCTTCTCTTTGACTCGGCTCTCTCAACATTCCAATCTTCATTCTACTCTTTTATCCAAATGGGTAAATTAAAGAAAGCAACCAAAACGGTCGCACAAATGTGTATATTCAATTGTTGTAAAAACAAAAACTGAAACTGGAACACGACAGGCTACCAGGTTAACCGTCATCCGGGTTGTGAAGCTTGGACAAAAACATATCCCCTTTTGACGTTCAGTTTTTCAGTTTTTTGTCAACCAATATGATGCGATAGAGTTAGTTGCAGTTTATGTTTTAATAATCATTAAGGATGCATTTTCATGCGTCATTTTCGGTCGCTGTCTCTTGGCTGCCCATTTTGGATAAAAGAGCAGAATGAAGATTGGAATGTTGAGAGTAAGATCAAAGGGATGATAGGGGACTACTAGGGACTGTATGTGATGTAGAAGCTGACTAATCGATTGCTGTATGTGCACAGTCATGCGAATACATCAACTTAAATGTCGGTAATAAAAAACATTGTTTGGAGCGAGGAAAAATTCACGAAGCAGATTATTGCGGAGTAACTTCATTCTGAGACCAGATGTGGAAACTGCACAATCGTTTGTTTGCTCATTCGATTATCAAGATTGTTGGGGTTTGAATGGATGTGTGTGTGGGAGTGATGAAACTTAAGAGTCAACGCAAATTTATTTTGTACTCGAATCTGGGGTGAAGTGGCTGATAGGGGATATGATTGTCGACGACACCCTATTACGTCGGTCCTGGCTAGCAAACGACAACGAACACGTCTCCATAGTGAATCGCGATTCCCATGCAGGAGACGAAATGGCTCGACTATGCTCACATTAAGATTGGTTTGCACTAGGGTGGGAAATCACTACACCTCCAGGTTTCAGGTAAATGAGTGAAACCGAACAGGTCTAACCATACAGAGTGATGTTTACGATTCCGATAAGATAACTAATTTTCTAATCACACAACCTTTGTACGTTAATCAACAGGAACAGGTAAGTGAGTATGCCAAGAATGCGACTGCAAAGTCTTGTCTTTCAGTCAGTAGTACAACTCTTTCTCTATGTATCCCTATAGAACTTAACAGATATTATTGTTGTTTCCCGTTTAATTTAATGAACCAATCACAATTATTTCTACAAGCATGCATCGCTGTAAATGCTCGAAGATAAATTTACGAAAACAAGTGTTGTCCTGGAAAATGACGGCTTATCTCTGTTCCAGTAACAACTTCAATAGCTCATTCCATATCTTGATAACCTTGTTTTAATCATCGAATCATACTAGATAACAAGTCTTACTGGCAACAAACGATAGTCTCTGTTTTATTACTTCTGTTCATGTATTCTCCCCTCTTGAACGCTAAGTCACTAAATACAGGGTTCTTCCTAGCTTTGATCTTATTAAATCAGGGTTTGCAAGGTTTTTTCTCCCACTGCTTGCAAAAGCATTTATCAGGAATCGAAGTTCTTTTTCATTGTGCCTTCCAGGCAAAGCTTCTATGCATTCTCTATTTAGAAATGAAATTCGGCGTGTATATAACAAATGCAGCGTGAAATGAACAGTTAGGAAGCGCTGGACAATTATTTCTATCTGGTTGGATCTCATCAGCAGTGCGAATCTATCAACTTAACTGAGGATCCAATCCAGAACCCCATGGGCAAAACGCAAGCGTGCCAACTACTCGGCCACCGGACAGCGGATCAGACAATTTTTCATTTTCCATTTACACTATATAGCACAACCCATCTCTTTAAATTATTCATAGCTTGGAAGATTAATAACGCACAATCGTTATTGATACCCGTCAGTTGTCCTATTTGCCATAAGCAAGCTGAAGGTTGCGGGTATTTGGTTGATTTCGTCTCCGATGTATGCACACTGACTGCTACCGGGTTAGGTGGTCACGTCCTGTCGTTCTGTCGGCTTCTACCTTGACAAACAAGTTCATATACTGGAAGCCTGTCTCTCCGTGTTTTACCCGGTTTCAGTCATTCGATATCACTTACCACACACACACGAATCGGTAGAGTGCACTCTGTGTGTGTGCGCGAAAACTCAGTTTTCCGTGGTTCGAATCCAGATCAAATTCAAAAAGAATTCAGTTCGCGAATTCTCGTCTGGGGACTCGGACGAATCAGGCTGTGTAGAATGTGTGCTTGTGGCGCTTTCTATCAAAAAAAGGGCACAGCACTACACATTGATTGTTAGACCATCAAATTGTTTGCTGGACCGGTTCCACAAAGGTGATCGGTTTCATTGCGCACGAATCAAAAATTAGATACAATGAAGGGCAACTGGTGGTGTGTCAGTGATTAAATCACCCTTGATCGGTGTTTGTTTCTCCGTGAGGTGTGTGCGTTTGTATGTGTGTGTGTATGTGTCAGTTATTGCATTGTAAGAGCAGTTACGATTGCTGTCTCTTATTTGTGCACAGATGCCAACTCGGTATCAGGGAGATTGGATGAATAAGGGAAGTGACTGAATGTACATTCGAGCGAATTTCTTTGTCTGCTACCGTCTAATGCCATTGTTGGGCAGCGAGTCTAATGCGCCACCTTTAGATAGTATCAGTTTCAGTTTACAGAATCAATAACGTTGTACTGTTTTGCGGTTTTATTTACTGTATTTTGTTGATTGATTTGGTCAACCAATAACCAGTAGTCAGACGAATGATTGAAACCAAGCCTCACTAAACAACGTAAAACATTTAGGGCTTAAACCGCAGAACAGTTGTGGAATCAACTAACAGTTAGAACAGAGGCCACAAGAGTGTTTGCACAGATGCAGAACTGAAACAGATGGAACGGGAAAATTCGTTGTTTGAATTTCCCAAAGAGGATTGCTGTTAGTCCGCTGTTTTGCCTAGCTTGAAACTTCCAGGACACTGAGGCATCTTCGTCGGCGTAGCTATCGTTGTAACTGAGCTGCTGACGGAATCGGTCAATGACCAGTATGGGCTATCGGTACTGCGACTAAAAATCTTTTAGTTAGTGCGAATTAAACGGTCCGGATAGTTGCATGATTCAAGGAGTTGAATTATCGGGACAATTGTTTTAACGGTGCTAACTGAACAGGTGTTATGGACGCGTAATCGGGTACTTATAGATTGGATAGAAGATTTAAAAAGCTGAGACCGAAATCCAGATGAGTAGTAGGCTAACGGGGGTCACTGATCACGACAACCAAATACATCACTCACTGTATCTAATTATTGATTTGGATCGTCACAAGTTACCCGGCCGGGAGCTTGACATGGTCTACCTGGTCGAGTTCCTTGGACAAGGTTTTTTTCATCCTCATGTTTGGCTTTGGTTTAGCATCCTGGCTCTTCTTCCAATGTTGTCTACTTCGAAGAGAATTCCCTACTGAGAAAACCGCTCCAGCGACGTGCGTAAAGTTTTTTTCTCCAAATACTGCACTCTATGGTATGCAAGTACTAGTGTTGGTGCGTGATCCATACCACCTAACCTCCGTTGTCCTACAGTTCTACACAGATTGAGACATGTCCATGGAGTTGCTCGGTAATGATTGCCGAAAGGCGCTCAGTTCGGTGAATCTATAACATGGTGAAAAATTATTTCATTGCACAGGTTACTAAAAAGCTTTCAGGTCACTGTATATTGATCAGGTGGTTTAAGAAAGTTGACTGTTACGGGCATACGGGGACAAACTGTGGATGTTCCAACCTCGTGTTGTGCGAGTCGGACAGGCAATGCAGAGATTGGAGCAGAGTTTTCGATAAAAAACGATCGCACTCGTGAGCAATTGCTCCTTCTTCATAGATTGTGTAAACTGGTTCGTGTTTTGCACATCACCACATAAACTACCACGATGTGCGATGTTCGCACAGATAGTTAGTTCGTTGAAAAAGATCAAAGTTGGTTCAGTTACGATTTGACATAAGGTCATGAAAATCCTGGACAGGAACTCAGTCATATAATATGAGCTAGACTGCCGAGTTAGAAACCTCGAGGTCAGTGCCATTGATGGTTAAAGACAGTGAGTAATATGATCGAGTGCCATCAACTATGACACTGGTACATCTACTCAGTTTTTCTGAACCATAGTTCACTACTACTAATACCAATGCTACTATTACTACTACTACTACTACTACTACTACTACTACCACTACTACTACTACTAGCCCTTTGCCAAGCCATTTCTGTGCCTGAGGACCTTTTACATTTCTCAAATAACCTATTGCATATTCATGAATTTTTCGTTCGTTCTGGACTGTCTCTTAATTTATCCAAGTGATTCAAATGCACTTTCTCCCTTTCTCGATCTGTTTATCCTTGTGATTCGTCTGTCATAAATACGGTTCCCCTAACTAGAGTTGAATCTGTGAAGTATCTGGGAGTTACAATCGACACTAACTTAAAGTGGACATCCCATATTTACAACTCTGTACAGAAACTTTGCAAATTATCTTTTCAACTTCGAAGACTTAGGCAATTCAATGCCAAACAAAAAATCACTTCACTTTTTGTTTATCAATGTGTTTTCCCTGTTCTTCTTTATTGTTCTCCGGTGGTTTTTGCTGGTCTACTAAAGAAAGACTTCAAAGTTCTTCGTCGCGGTTTGTCGATCATCAGTCGTGTGTCTTTTATACCCGTTGATGATCTATCTAAAAAACTGTGTGAACTTCACTTGTCCGCATGTGAAACGTTTGCCCAGAAAATCCTCGCTGACCCCAACCATCCTTTACATGGTGATTTATCTAAATGCTGCTCTCATACGTCGACACGTTCTTCTTATCGATTATTACCCTCTCGCATTAGTCTCTACAGAAATTCCCCAGTTCCCTATCTTGCCAGAATCCTTGTAAACCGAGAGCGCGCTTCCTCAGAATTTCTCAGTAACCTTAAAGGCTAAATATTTTACTTGTATCTTTCCTTCTATTGATGAGATGTGTAAATTTTTGACTGAAATACGAACATTCTGTTCTCGCAAAAGTCTATACAAATACAAAATACAAATACTGCTACTACTGACCTAGGCTAAATGCGGATTGCAGTTGGGATGTAATTGTCGATTCGTTTCGAGTGGTAGTCGACATTGTCTCGCGAAGTACTTTGAGCCGCTACGTTTGCGCATCTGGTTGGATGGGCCCTATTCTCGATCCGTTCGCTAGCCGGGGCTCCGATTGTACCACCTTTCATCACGATAACATAGGGCCGTGAATTACACCTTTTACGGACCAGGACAAATCACAACGGAACAATGAAATATTGAACAGATAGCATATTATACGGTAAGAATGTTGAAGTTAAGAGGAAGAGTTTGGTTGATGAGCTTTTATGGACCATATTAGTTATGTGGATATGAAAGCCCTAACCAGGAGACTGAGTCACTTAGGTGCTGTTAGGCTCCCTTGATGGGGACACCAAGATCATGGCACCCGTCGGTTAGAACCACTGAGTAATAGTACTGGGTGTCGCAAACAGTGGTGCTCGTGCATCTACCCATTAACCTTACTTGAATTCTCTGTTTTCACCTTGACTCTGCTTTCAACATTCCAATCTTCATTCTACTCTTTTATCCAAGTTGGTAACCAAAAGACTGGAATCAAAACAGGCGCATGAAAACGCATGGGGAATGATTGTGAAAGCTGAAACTGAAAACTAGGTTTTGCTGTGAAAATAAACAGATGGGATGATAAAATGAAAATTACAAAAGGACATTTACTTTTCTGGATTATAAATATGTTCACATTTAACACAGCTTCTTGTGAGCAGTAACGTAGAAAATGTGGTTTTCGTTCTGAAGGCACCTTGATTCATCCAGTCATCCATACACGGAGGAAGCAGCGTAGACTGTTTGATCTTTTGATCTTATTTTATCTCATCATTGGTGCATGTCTATCGATCCATCCGGGATTTAAACTCTATTCCCCATGACGGGAAGGTTTGTGTTTGTTAACGGTGTACCAAAAACACGTATCAATAGGTCTTAGGGAAGAGAGAAGTCGGTAAGCGAAGGACTATCTTGGGGTATAAAAGAATGACAAATTTAGGTGGTCACAGTGAAATGTAAATACAAGTCTCCCGAGACAATGTTTTTGTAGTAACCGCACCGGAGTTTCTCGATATTGGATTCCCAAGGGATCACACCTAGAAGCGTGTAAGAACTCGTCCAGTTCGCAAAATTCATGGTTATTTATAACCAAGTGAGAGGTTATGGGAATGCATATATCAATCGATTGGTTGACTACATTATGACCAAACTTCTGGATTGATTGTTAAGCTCAACCAATCACCTGAGATCCGAAATCCTTGTTCTGATTGGTTATCCCAGAACAAAGCAGCTTCCAGGATACATACTGACTCTGACAGTTTCGACTACATTCACCGCCACCCAGAGAGAGAAAGAAGGAGAGAGACAGTCAATATTTGAACATCATTCCTACCCCGGGGCACATTAGATAAGTAGCAATTTGAAAATAGATTTCACAAATTTAACCTTTTGACTGAAATTTCACCTTTTCTGTTTCATTCCCGTTTTCTCCTAACCACATTTAGTGATAACCTTCAATACGCCTATCCGGTTCTGTATAGTTTCGGGGTGGCCAATGAGTCTGTGCCTATTCACCTGGCACGAATCTCCTGTCCGGCCGATGCTGTCGATTTGAATAGCTGTCAACTGGGTGGTGGTTGGGGTTCCGTTGCCGGTTGTACACACACAATGGATGTTGGCGTGCAATGTGGCCCGGTTGCATACAGTACTAAATCACGTGAGTCAAATAGGTCAAACGATTCAATTCACGTAACTGTGAAGATTACGTTCTTACCAAGTGAGTGCAATGAAATGTAACTTTGCAACCGAAAGAATAAGCCAGCGATAGTACTGATCTTGAAAAAGGTCACCATTACCAATAAATATCCTGGCATATACAGATACTGCCATCTGTATCCGATTGCACTATACTACATCACATTGCGGGTGCAAGATTTTCTGAGCGACTATTTCATGCACTGAAAAAAAAACCCGTGGACAGCATCAAGAAGTCAATTTGTCAAACTAGCTCATTTTCGGTACATCATTTACTAGCCAAATAGTCACAAAATCAAATAATTCAAGGAAACAGAAAAAACGTCTATCATGTCTCTGTTTATATGCGTGAACATGGATACTATCGATAATACAGTCAGGGGTATGTGATAGTTATCGTATTGTATTCAAACTTTATCGAGTTATGTACATGCTTTCAGCCAAAACGTAGACCACCGTTACAGTTCTGGAAAAAGCAGGTGTAAAAGGTGGATGCGAAACTTACAAAAATGTGAGTTAATTGCTAAATGCATTAGAAAGCTCAGAACGAACACTTTCTTAGTTGGTCAGTATCCGAGCAAAATAGGGTACCAAAGAGTTTCTGTATGCGGATATGCGAGACGGGATAATTTTGTACTTGGAACGGGTGCAGGGGTGGGATTTGCATGCACACAAGTCAGTGTGTAGAGGATGGGTGCAATCAGATAGGATATTGTCAGCAAAGTTCAAGCACGCATCAATATGAGCATTGACAATCAGAACAAACAACAGAACTTGGGAGACACGGCTGATCATTGAGGGATCACGCCTCAGCAATATGAAATCAGCTTTCAACAAACCAGGGAAAATTACAGGAGAGCAGTACAGGGGTATAGGGAGGATACATTGTTGAACGAAAGCATTTATCACCGACGAGTCAGAACAGAAGTGGCACTGTCTTCTTATCTGAAAAGTGAAACTTTTCAACTTGCGAGCAACACTTGGGGTATGTAAAGACCAGTGAAGGTTATTTTCAAGTGTGACACCCAAGTACTTCACATGGCTGACCCTGCTTATCGGCTTTCCATAAATTTGGACATTGTCGGAGGGAGATGGGGTACGGTTTAGTGTAAAAATACATTCAAGGCATTTTACAGGATTAAGATTAAGACCGGAAGAAGTGGAATATAAAATGGGATAGGGTTGCGTTACATTCAGCCAGTTCTGATTGGTTAGATACGGAAACAGAAATGGTGATATCATCAGCATACTTAAAATGTCGAACAGGTAGAGTAACAAGTAAATCACTGATATAAGTCGAAAAAAGATAGAATGATAGGACAGCAATCTGAAGTACACCCGAGCTATTGAGTGCTGCGGTTGACTATCTTCTTTTCAATTTGGCATACTGATATCTTTGCGGAACGTAATCAGCCAGCCATTCAAGAAGAGAAGCGGGACAGTCAAAGGATTGGAGCTTGTTTAGCAAAAGAGAACGAGGCACAGAGTCGCAAGCGAAAGAATAGTCCAGAAACGCACAGTGCACATATTTGGCTTTCTCATTAAGGAACTTACAGATGAAATGAACTAGAGAAAAAATGGCATCTAATGTCGAGCGGTTGTGTTTGGATGCAAACTGATAAGTGTCATCAGGGGTGGTTAGAGATAACTGAAGATGGTGCAGAACTGATTGCTCCATCAATTTCAAACCAGTGGAAGTGAGAGCAATTGGTCTTAGACGCTTCGCTATTGGATCCTTAGACGTTCCTTTGGGGATGGGAGTAGTTCTCACTGGGAGCTAGCAGTCCGGAATAGTTCAAGTTTCAAGTGAAAGGTTAGCTATGTGTGCAAAAATATGATACAGTGGCAGAGCACCGTGTTTAAGAAGGGTAGGACTTAAGTTGTCTGGACCAGGTGAGGTCGACACTTTGAGACAGCACATGTGTTTATACATCTCACCAGAGGTGATGAGATCAAACGAAGCTTGGATGTTTGGAGAAGTGGAATCAACATAACTGGGGTACGTGTCGGACGAAGAATGAATAAATGCAGCGTTCAGATTTTCAATATCAATAGAGCGACTGGAAGTCACTTTCTTCTACCTGCAAAGTAGATTGAGTCCAAGCCACATAGATTTACAGTTCATCGCCCCAAAAAACTGACTTACTCTTGATCAGAAACGATAGTCGTTTCATCTCAGCCCTCCCGNCCCGCCATATTTAACTGCGAGTTCCTTTTCACGGCGAAGACGTTTAAGAAAAGGTGTTGATATTCTGCCACGTCGAAGGAATAACGTTATCACAGGACAGCATATGTCAGAAACACAGTTTAACACTTCTGTTAGAAATGTCATATTTGACAAACAGTTAGTGTTTAAAGGAAAACAGTCGGTCACTACCTTAAGAGACGATCTAAGCAAGGCAATATTGTCTGGGGAAAGATCTCGCTGACGGAACATCATGTGTTTTCTGGTCAAATAAAAGAAAAATGTCCTGAGTGTGAGTAAATCTTAGGTCTGACCAGGATCAGATTGTGGTCACTGGTGCCTAAGGGGGAGAACTGTTTGGTGGAAAATGAATCAGCATGGTTTGTGATTATGTGGTCTAGATGAGAGTTTCCTCTACTCGGTTCAATAATCAGGTCGATGAGGTTAAGACACAATAAAGGGTGCAGGGGTGTGTGGTTAAAGTCACCAGTTATTGGATGCAAGCTGTCAGAAAGAGATGAGGCAACAACCGGTAGGAAATTATCACAAAATGTGTCAATGTCTGACAATCTATACTGGGGTGCAATGTATAAA